TTTTTATTGGTTCCGAAAGTGACGTTAGGACTGGCCGCACCCCAAACCCTCCGCCAGGTCAGGATAGCAGCCAGAGCCATGGCAGCTGCTTTCAAGCCTGTTCCCTGCGTCCAGTTCCCTTCCTCCAGTTCCCTTCAGCCAGACCCCTGCCCCACTTCCCTTTGCCCACTCCCCTGCCCACTTTCCCTGTCCCGGTTTCCCATTTCCCAGTCTCTGCCTCCAGTTCCTTCCTTCCGGGTCCCTGCCTCCAGTTCCCTGGAGCCAGCTCCCTGCGTCCAGTTCCCTGCCTCCAGTTCCCTGCAGCCAGTCCCCTGCCCCAGTTCCCTTTGCCCCCTCCCCTGGCCACTTTCCCTGTCCCCGCTTTCCCAGTTCCCAGTCTCCAGGTCCCTGCCTCCAGTTCCCTGCTTCCGGTTCCCTGCCTCCAATTCCCTGGTCCCAGTTCCCTGCGTCCACGCTTCCACTTCCCTGCCTCCAGTTCCCTGCTTCCAGTTCCCTGCCTCAAGGTCCCCAGAGCCAATTCCCTGCGTCCAGTGTCCTCTGCCCAGTTCACTGCTCAGGTGCCCTGTTTCGCATTTCCCCTGTCGCCAGTTCCATTCCGCCAGTTTCCTGCCACTGACCGCCTCACAGTAAAACAGCCCCCAAAATTCACCCACGCCACACCTCGCATTTCCTCCTCCTCCAGTTCACTTTTACACGTTCCCTGCCTCAAATTTCCTTTCCCCTCTCCACTGCCTCACCTCTCTTTTTGCATTTCTCTGCCTCACAAACCTTCACTTGACTAACAATGTCACACGTGTTTCCAAAAAGAATCCTCGCAAAAAAAAATTGGCCCTCTGCCGCTTTCACTTGCTTTCACTATGTTCAAACAAATCCAGACAACCCGCTTCCACCTTCTCTGTGCACTGTTGCCTGTGCGAGTTCACCCAAAGTTCCTTTCTCCGCGCTCGATCCTCTTCCCCACAATAAAGTTATTTACCCTACCTTTCGCCTTCCTGCGTTCTATCTTTCGCCGCAGTATGTTGCCCTTATCTGTGCCATGTGTGTGTTGTGGTTTTGTTCTCGTCACACCTTCTTTCGTTACTAGCAAACACGAAATATTAGAACTTCACTGTCTGTCAGCATGTGTCTTCTACGTAGCTGTTGACACCCTGTGCGTCTGCTTTCTTTCTCTTGGGAGTCAGCAAGCATCAAACATGCAAATTCACAGTAGCAACCAGTCACTCGAACTTACGCATACTCTTACTCCTAATGGGCTAGAGGCCGAGTTTGGCGGGGTCAACTTTCGCCGATCTTCCGCTGAACTTTCGCCACAATTTCGCCTTTTGCGGGGTCCACTTTTGTAGCCAATCCACCCCGACCCAAAACAGGAACAAGAAAAGTTGTCATCTCTCTCTGCCCTGTTCCCCCTCGACCATCGCGCCTATGTCTGACCCCCTTCCCTGCCTCCTCCTCTCCTACACGCAGCGACCGAACCAGACGCTGCGCCCTCCCTGCTTTCTTCCTCGCCCTGCCCCTGCCTCGCCACAGCGACCGAAACAGACGCTGGGCCCTGTGCCTTCCCCTTTCCCTCTCCTCCTCCCGCTTGCATACACGACCCCCCCTGTCCCTCCCCCTTTCTCCGCCCTTCTCCCACTCCACCCCAACGACCACACCTGACCCCGTCCCTGCCTCCTCCCCTCATACACGCGGCGACCGAACCAGACGCCACGCCCCCCATGCTAGTTTTCCTCCTCGACCTCCCCTGCCTCGCCACAGCGACCGAAGCAGACGCTGGGCCTGTCCCCTCCTCCTCTCCTTCTCCTCCCCCCCGCTCGCCTCTCCATATCCCTCCCCCTCTCTGCCCTGCCTCC